TCACCCCAATAAATCCACCCTCCGGGGTATTGATTGAGATTACTTGTTGTGTGATACTTCACCCTGTTACACTGGTGGAGAATGCAGGCAAATCAGTGAAGAATCACAGACAAGCGATCTTCTTCACCTCACCTTTTTCCCTTGTTTTTGTCTCCGGTTTCTGTCACAGGCGAGCGCTCCTCCCCCACCATGGACGAAATCCTCCAGCAGCTCACCGAGGTTAGCATCCGCCAGCAACAAATTGTTGAGCACCTCGCCCCCCCATCAAGGAGAGACGGAGCAGGGACTTGCGGCATTGTGTGCCGCCGCCGCTCAACGCATTCCGCTGCCGGACGCCCGAGTGCAAGCCGCGAAGCTGCTACCCAAGCTGACCCCTCATGATGACGTAGAAGCCTTCTTACAAATGTTCGAAGCGATGGCCACCTTGGAAGGGTGGCATCAGGATGACTGGGCACGGGTGCTGGCGGGCGAAGCGCAGCGTGCATATTTCGCTCTTCCCGCCGCCTCCGCCGATCAATATAAGGAGGTCAAGAAGGAAATCCTAGCCCGCCTGGGGTTATCCCCTATCTGTGCCGCCCAGCACGTCCACGAGTGGGAGTATAAGCCCCCTCTGCCGGCCCGTGCCCAGGCCGCCAAACTCACACGACTCGCGCAGCACTGGCTGCTGGAGGGTGCTCCATTGGCTGGACAGGTGGCGGAGCGCATGGTGATTGACCGTATCCTCAGAGCCCTTCCCTGGTCCCACCAACAGGCAATGGGGATGAGGAACCCAACCACCACCTCCGAGCTGGTGGAGGCTGTCGAGCTGGCGGATGCGGCCCAACACCGGGGATGCTGGGGAGGTTCAGCCTGGTCCCCACCCTCTCCCGCATTTCGTCGTGCAAAATGGCCTGCTGTACTGTGTCGTGCAGCGAAGGGGGGAGGAAAAATTATTGTTGGTGGTGCATCGGGATGGACCTTGTGGGGCCGTTGCCTAAGTCTGCCCGGGGACATGAACACATCCTGGTGATCGTCGATTATGCCACCCGGTACCCTGAGGCAGTGCCCCTCCGAAAAGCCACCGCCAAAGCCATTGCCCAGGAACTCCTCCTGCTCTCCAGCCGAGTCGGCATCCCAGCGGAGATCCTGACCGATCAGGGTACCCCCTTCATGTCCCGGCTAATGGCTGACCTCTGCCGGCTGCTGCGGGTGAAGCAGTTGAGGACCACGGTCTACCATCCCCAGACCGACGGACTGGTCGAACGCTTCCATCAAACGCTCAAGGAGATGTTGAGATGGATGGTCGCGGAGGATAAAAGCGACTGGGACCTGATGCGCCCCTATGTCCTTTTCGGGATCCGCGAAGTCCCGCAGGCCTCAACTGGCTTCGAGCTCTTGGCCGGCACCCTCCTCTTTGGCCGGCAACCCCGCGGCCTCCTGGATGTGGCGAAGGAAGCCTGGGAGCAGCAGCCGGCAGCCCATCGCTCTGTCATCGAACATGTAAAAAAGATGAGGGAAAGGATAGACCGGGAAACGCCATTAGTCCGGGAACACCTGACAAAGGCGCAGCAGGCCCAACAGCGCAACTATAACCGGGCAGCCCAGCCACGGGAGTTCCAGCCCGGAGACCGAGTCATGGTCCTAGTCCCCAATGCGGCCTGCAAATTCCTGGCCACCTGGCAGGGTCCCTATACGGTGCTGGAGAAGATTGGGCCGGTGACGTACCGTGTGCGTCAGCCAAGAAGGAGGAGAGCTGAGCAACTCTACCACATTAACCTCCTGAAGAAGTGGATGGGGACTAGAGACCAGCTCGCGGCCCTCGCCATCTCTGATCCCGTGGTTGTTGACGTCAACCCCCACCTCTCGGCTGCCCAGAAGAGGGAGCTGCAGCACCTGGTCGGTCAGTTGTCTGATGTGCAGCTCATCGGCGAGCTATTGAGGAGGAAATTCAACAGATGCTGAAGTTGGGGGTGATAGAACCATCACGCAGCCCATGGGCCAGCCCCATCGTGATGGTCCCGAAACCGGACAGCACCCTCCGTTTCTGCAACGACTTCCGTCGCCTCAATGAGGTATCCAAGTTCGACGGATACCCCATGCCTCGGGTGGATGAACTATTGGACCGGCTGGGAAGGGCCCTGTATATCTCGACGTTGGACCTCACCAAAGGCTACTGGCAGGTACCCCTCTCTGAGAATGCCAAACCTAAGACTGCTTTCTCTACCCCTAGTGGCCACTGGCAGTACCGGATCCTTCCTTTTGGCCTCCACGGGGCACCCGCCACGTTCCAGCAGATGATGGACATCCTGTTGCGGCCCCATCAGGCCTACGCCGCGGCTTATCTGGACGACGGTGTGATCCACTCTGAGGCATGGGAAGACCACCTGGACCGGTTACGGAGGGTGCTCTCGGAGCTCCGGAGGGCTGGACTCACCGCCAACCCTCGCAAATGTCACCTTGCCCTCTCCGAGGCGAAGTACCTGGGTTTCCAGGTGGGACAGGGTCTCATTCAGCCACAGGAGAAGAAGGTGGAGGCAGTACGCTCCACTCCGAGACCCGAGACCAAGACCCAGGTACGAGCCTTTTTAGGGTTGGCGGGGTATT